CCTCAGTCTTAAAACCTGTTGATAAGAAAGACAAAAAAAAAAAGTCTGAATAGTGAACTCTGGCAAAGAAAGCAAAGATAGTACCAATAGTAATAGGTGCCTTTGGAGCAATTCCAAAACACCTGGAGCACTGTTTGAATATCATTAGCACTGATAACTTCACCATCAGTCAATTGCAAAAGGCAGCTTTACTTGGATCAGTTTACATTCTGCAACTATATTTTTAATATTATTAACAACATCTGCCTGTCCCAGGTCTTTGGCAGGACTCTGGTGAACAAAAATGCTACTTCCAATCTAAACATCTGGCTGACAATGCAACCAACATAATAATAATCTAGAAGCGCTTGCATCTAAAAGTACTAGCATGTGATCAATATGATAATTTGTTATAGGCCTGGGAGGCAAAATTTTAATTATTAAAGTTTTTAGACTGCTTTATTAAATGTTCCTCATTGAGATGCTTCTCTCTGTGAGTTCCAAGCTTCCGGTTCAAAAGAAAATCATTTCAAATTAAGCTGAGCTACTTATAGCATATTAGATGAATTTGGGAAACAAATAACATTAATTTTTAAAAAATATTTTTCCCTATACAACACTTTGGTACATACTTCTAGTAGTATGTTAGCAAATTCTCACTACATCTCATTAATCTTAAAAGAGATGCATTTTCAATGGCTGCTATTCTTGAGGAAGAAAGGAGAAGGACTACATGGTTTTTTAACTTTATGGCTCAGAACAAAGAATAGAAATTCAAAAAGAATTATTTCTATAGAGCATAAAGATTGCATTGACTATTGTTGCTGGGCTAGGCAGTGATATTTTGCCACTATGTTGACAAAGGACCCACTCAGAATTTATCCCATTAACCTATCCTTAATCTCTCGCCCACAAACGAATTAACTTTCTGATGAAACATATGAGTAAGGGAAGGGGCAACTACTGTATTTATCAAATTTTTCCTTTTGAACTAGGCATTTTCAGAAAAAGAAGCAGCAATTCTTTATGAAAAGTCCATGCTATGTATGTGTTATATTATTACTATTATAATTTTCTTGATGTGTTGGAAGATTACAGGCATATATTCTGTTGGTTTAAAATAAAACTTAAGTATAGAAGTAGTTTGAAACTTATTTGGAGAAATTTATGGGTGGAGGGAGTTTGCCCATTTACTATGTTCCTTAGACACTTTTTTTGTCTTTGTTTTTCAGATGTGCCAATTAATTTAAGACTCCCCCCCCCATTGTGAAGCTGTCATATTCAGCCAGATAGCATAGCTGTGACAAAAGTGGCTGAAATTCTTAGTTTTAATTTTCTTCTCTTCTGAAATCTTGAGATGGAAGGTCAAAGCTAGTTCTGAACTAATAGGGATCCATCAGTATTCACTTTATAAGCATGCATAATTGTAATATAAATGTTTTCTCCAATTGTATTATATTAAGAGAAAAATACAATTAAAACTATAGTCCATTATTAAAATCCTAATAAATATTGAATACAAGGAGACCTCAGTTATTGACTGCAATTGACTTATGACTTCAGTTCAGACTGTAGTTGTTAGGCAAATCATCCACAATCATTAATAACAATAGCAATAGCATTTATATATCACCACATAATGCTTTACAGCACTCTCTAGGTGGTTTACAATGTAGAAGCATTATTAGCATGTTGTCCCCAACAATCTGAGTCCTAATTTTACTGACTTTGGAAGGATGGAAAGTGAGTCATCCTTGAGCTCTGTCAGGATCGAACTCCAGGCTTCAGGCAGAGTTTCACCTGCAATACTGCACTTTAACCACTGCAGCACCAGGGCTCTCTGGTTACGCATGATGTCACATGACTACAACTTTTTACCGACTTCCCCATTGACTTTGCTTGTCAGAAGTTGGCTGGGAAGCTTGCAAATGGAGGTCACATGACCATGGGATGCTCTGACCATCATAAACACGTGCTGGATGCTAAGCACCCAAACCACAATCATATGAGTGCAGAGATGCTGTGATGGCCCCAAGTTTGAGGACTGCTTATTAATCTCCTTCTTAAGCATGGTCATAATTGAATGAGCTGAATGAGCAATTGGTAAGCAAGGACTACCTGTACAATAATTTACAAATTGGCACTGAAGATCTGATCAGCGACCATTAAAAGCTCTACCTTAGCCCTCTGTTACTTGGGAATATGTATGATTGATTTTTTTCCACTCAAGAAAAATTGACTCATTATTGGAAAAACAACTGCTGAATTATCACAGGGTGTTATAATTGTCCACTGAAATAAACTATTTATTTCATCTGGAATGGCCACTCTGGTTAGAATTTGTGTATAGTAGAATCTTTGTGTGGAAATGTTTAAGAATCACACAAAAACTTTCTTACGGCAATAAAAAATATTAAATATCAGGCTGGCATCTAATATAAATTATGATGACTAATAAATCTCTTGGAGAATGATGTAGGCATTAATACAAAAGAGTCTTCTTCCTAGAGCAGTGTTTCTCAACCTTGACAATTTTAAGGCATGTGGACTTCAACTCTCAGAATTCCACAGCCAGCAATGCTGGCTGTAGAATTCTGGGAGTTGAAGTTCACATGCCTTAAAATTGTCAAGGTTGAGAAACACTGTCCTAGAGCCAGGGTCTTGGAAGACCCTTAATTCTCTTTGTACCCGGGTCAGCAATCAAAAGTCTACATGGTCAAATGGGGGTGTTTCACTGGATCAGACCTGTGATTGTGGAAGAAGCAGATTCTACATCATTCCCCACTTTGTCTTTTCTTAGGGGCAGGCAGTTTCACACTGCAGGATCTCACTGAGGTCACCTCATGAGCATTGTAGTATGTGCACAATGGTGGAAAGAAATATGACTTGATGGATGGACACAAGAAGAAAAAGGCTGTTGAGATCATGTCATGTGATACTGCAGTTTGCTGTAGTGCTGGGCTAGCTCATTTGCAGCTTCACTTATCTCTCCTTTGTTCAGTTGGAAGATATATCAATTCTTGAACTTTATGTGTAATGATTTGTTATTTAATAATGGCTTCTGTCCAGCTTGAATTAGCTTAGGAAAGTGCTATCCCCAGTCATTTCTAGAAATCACCTTTTCTTCCTTAGAGAATGTGATTATTTTTCCGTCTACATAGTTTATTATAGCAGACTAGCATGAAAATTAGTTTGCATAATTTATATTTTGTCAAGCTGAATCCCACCCAATCCCCAACTATTTTGCTATGTCTTATGTTTGATGACCCATATCCAATATTTATTGTTTGTTTGTGTGGTGTGTGTGTATGGGGGGGGGGGGGCTGGAGATTTCACCAGACTATAGTGGGCTGCTAGGTCTGTCTGCTGATTGACTTTCAAAATCACCAATTGTTTAGACTTAATGCAAATACTGTTCATGTAAAATACAACAGAATTGGATTTCACAGTCAAGAAGATTGTGGATCCTGGAAGCAGTCAGAAGATGGTAATTAAATAGCAGTGGTGCTAGTGCTGTTTATTTAGAAATAAAATCAGTTAAAATCCAAGTGAGAATTTTTCCGTTAAATGTGTAGAACCAAATTACTAAGTAAATGTCAAAGAAATAGCTGAACAAGTTAAAATGGGGGATGCCAGTTATGGGTATTCTGCACCCAAAATAATGGTGTGATAAGAAGCACAATCTACCCATAAATAGATGACAAGTTTTCACCTGCTGTATAAACTATTTTGTTAGGTTGTGATCTTCTGTCAATATTAAAGCTTGCAGACAGCCAATTTTTTTCTTGAAGAACCTAGAGGAATAATCTAAGAGATTATTGATCTTAGACTAGAGAATATGGGTGTATTAAAATACCTATTCAAATAACCAAGAATAAAATGCTTCCATGAAAACTGTACTTTTTGATGTGCAGGATATCACTCATATAACATTGAATTTCAATAGAATTTCAATAGAATAGGCTACGTATGATATCAAGATAAATATGTAGACCAGTTTGCTTCACATTAGGAAAAATGTGGAGGCAAAAAAAAATGCAAATGTAACAGATGGTAACAAGGTCATTTAATATCTTCCCTCAAGAAATGTAAGAAAATGTTAAAAACCTCTTTTTATACTCAGGTCTGCATTCCACCTTAAGTACAGTATCTGTGTTTTTAAGTTTGTCATTTTATAGTTGTAACTATAAATGTTGCTGCTGTTTGTTTACTTTTAATTGTAAATTTCAGTGATGTTTTAGAAATTATGATTTTAGGGTAGTCTTGTTTTAGATTGATCTTATTGTTAGCCATTGCAGGCTGGGGTGAACAGGAGTGAATGGGAGAAAAGAGAGAGAAAAGGATTTGTGTTATGAGTAGCACAGTGGCAGAATAAAAATTCCTACTTTGACTGTACTCTTTGATCTGTACATTTCCTACTTTTAATATTTAATGTTCCATAAATCAGAATATGACAAATAGACACAAACATCTTAACCTTGTATGTAATCATAAAATTTTGAAGCTCAGAATAGTTATTTGCTTAGTGTTTCTTGTAGTCATCAAGCTTGCAGTTTCAACCTGAATTAACTGAAGTTGTGCTGCAGCATTCACAAACATTCGTGGAAGTTTCTTTTAATAAATTGGCTTTGACGAATATCTTCAAGGTCCTCAAATTGCTCCAATGGCGCAAAGATAATGCTTTAGAGTACTTTCTCCTTCAAACTGAAGGAACACCAGTGCCGTAATGAAAACTTAACAGGATCAGAAGGTTATTTTAGCTCATAACGTTCAATAAAAATGAGGTGAAGTTCCAGCAAAGTATTTCACAATGGGATTATAAAAGATGTACTGTAAATGAATTTAAAGTTTATGATATGATGTTGAAGGATATGCACTATTTTAGCCAAATACACACATACCCTGCATAGCATGGTGGTGAATATAATACATTATTATATATTATAAGAGTCCATTGGCGTGGGACAGCCAACAAATTTAAATAAAACAAAATAAAAGAAATAACTTTGCTTTGTTTTTAGATTTCCCAATTGATTACTGAGGCTGGCCGCGATGGACTGACGGAAGCCGTGCTGAACCATTACAATGCAGATAAACCTTCCTTGTATAGCTTCCCCAGTTCCCAGAGCACCTGTGTTGCTAGTGATGCCTCCACTGGTACCTCAGTGGCTGCTTCCTTTTTTGCCAGGTAAGACTAAAAGTTCTGCTTTGGATTATTTTAAATTATCAAATACCCTTCTAAAGAAAGCACACTTGAAGACTTGATGGAAGGGTATGGTAACACAGAGAACATTACATGCTGAAATTTTACATACAATTATTTATTGGGTAGGGAATAACACAAGGTATCATTTTTTTCCTAATTTAATTGGGAAGAAATGCTTTCAAATGCACAACATGAAAGCAACATTCTCTGGGACACAGTCCTTTATTCAAGATAGAGTGGCTGTTGAATTGCAGCTCCTATCATTTGTTGATGGCCACCGTATATATATTCATGTCACTCTAGTAATTTTTACGAGTGATCCTTTGTCGCTAGTTGATGGCCTTAATTCTATTTACAGTGTAAAGTGTTTCCAAGGTGAAGCAATTGAATTACTCCAAAGTATGGGATTTTGTTGAAAATAACCATCTGTATGCTGAATTAGTCTTTTCTTTGGAAAAATCATTATGGAAATAAGAGTAATTCTTGTCCTTATTTTGACATGTTAAAAAATCCTTCAGATATGTCTAGACTGAATCAAAACAACACCATCCTTTTTTTTGTACATTTTACCAGAATCATAGAGACCTTCTGACAATAGCATAATTAAAGCAATGCCCACAAATCAAAATACTATTGATTTTTCACTGAACAGTTTGGCACAAATAACTGAAATCTTGAGTCAATGCTACATGTGTTACTCAGTTAGGAAGTGGGTGACCTTTTGAGGGATACCTGCAAGGCTCCAATTAATGATTTTAGGTAAATCATTCTTCTCACATTTTTATTACAAAGCAAGCAACATTTACTGTACAGCGCACCAGTCTGGCTATCCTGTATGTTTAAGCATTATACTGAAATTAATGGATGTAGCAATAAAAGATCAAAGTATAAGATCCAGTGTGGTGTTGATTTATCAGAGCCTATAATTTCCCTTATCCAAGAGAAAAAACTGAAATGCCTTCTTTCATCTCAGGACTAGCTTATTTTCTACTGTACATGAATAGTCACAGGATGCTCACATATGTTCAGCTGTTTTATAAACACACACACATAAACAAAGGTTTCTGTGATTATATCTGGTATTTTCATTATTGAACTATCTGGAAATGTATAATGGATCTACCTGCCTTCTGGTTCATATTTACATTTTTCCCAGCTAGAGGTTGGATCTACTACTAAACAAAAGTTTGAATCAGCCCTCAATAACCCTGTCTACTATTCTGGAGAGTTGTAGATTAGAACAAGAGCAATTGGAAAGCAAGGACATAACAGCAATTGTTATCTGTTGCGTCCTTGGCGGGAAAACAGACACGAGAAGCAGCTGGAGTTCTCAGTTTCTTTTATTCAGCGTTCAGCTTACAGGAAGATGGCTTCAGCCTCGCCCAAACGCCTCGCAGCCTCTTATATAGGCAACTCCCGGGTAAATGGGTTACTTTTCCCGCGCCAGCACCCGCGCATGCGCACGGCGCTGGCGACAGCCTGTCTGGTCCCGGGCAGCTTTGCACCTGCCCGGGACTGCCTGCAAACGCCCGAGCCGTTTGCAAAGGCTCGGGACATAACACCCCTTTCCCCCGGGCTAAAACTACTACCAACATACAACATTTATTTTATATGACATTTGCTCCCCAGTGCTCCCACTGTTTACTGGCCTTTGCCTTGCCAGCAATGTTATGTAGTCTTCTAGGTACTTGGGAGATTTCTTTGCTCTCTGTGACCTTCTTAGCTGTGGATTACTGGCATAAGTCCCCTGACTGGAGGGAGGCGTGAGCCTGTTCTCTCTATTGTGCCCTGGTGTCTTCCAAGGACTGTGCCCCGATGCCTGGCCTGCTTGCTTGCCCACCGGGCTCGTCAGGCCAGGGCTTCTGTTACTTTGTGACCTGGTTGACCTACCTAGCTGTAGACCCTCAGGCCCCTTGAAGTGATAGCCGCTGCTGGGCGTCTCTGTAGAACCTCCTAGGTCAGTCCAAGACCTGTCAGGAGGCTGTCCATTCCCTGAACCCCATTCTGTGTTCGGGCTCGTGTGGGTTTCTGTACTTTCCCAAAACTCAGGTGTTCCCTGATTTGTGCTAGGGTTGTTGTAGTCGGGACTTGGTTCCTCGACTAACTCTGTGTATGTTTGACCCCCTGTAGGATTTGGGGTAAGGTCAGGCCAACCTTGGGAATTGTGTGCCAGCTCTCTTGCGGGGAATGATTTGTTGGGATGCCCCCGGGTATCCTCCGTTGCTGGAGTGCTGTGTGATGTGTGTGGAAAGTGTATGCCGCGGGGTGACTCCCTGCTGATTAGGCTTGAGTCCTGTTGGTGGGTAACTCGCATTACTTTCTTTTCGAGCAATTGCAGACCTTGGGACAGCCGTTTGTGCTCCCCTCATGGAGGTGGCAGTAGCTCCTTGCCTTCCCTTTGCTCCAGAGGTCCCCCTCCCACCTCTGTAAGGCCCAGGAGTCTCAGCAGAAAAGTCTCGCCTAGAGCGAAGTTGGTCGATGTGACGACGCATGACACTAATGACCGTTGTCCAGGCAACCTCGTAGGAAGAGGACCCTTTGATCCGTGTACACAGAAGCGGGGACCCATGTATGACCAGGCCCGTAATTGCGAGCCCAAACCGGGGCACCCACAAGTATTTGTCTAGGTGCCCTAGGATGTGAGGTAGATGAAGGCAGTCTGTCCGGATGCAACCGGTCAAGTCTCGTAGTAAGTTGGCGCCCCCAACGAAGTTCAGCTGGACTTCTCCCTGTAGAAGTGGACGGTGTGGTGCGATAAGAAAGGAGAAAGTCAGCCCACCTGTGATGCCAGTCCCCGTAGGTGAGTCTCTTCAAGGCGTCCTTTGCGATGCGCACCATGCGTTCAGCCATACCGTTGGTGGAAGGGTGAAAGGGCGCAGATGTGGCATGACGAATCAGGTTTGCCTGTAAGAAAGCTTGGAATTCGGATGGGTGAATTGAGGGCCTTGGTCGACACATGGAATCTGGCAGCCCCTGTGCAGCAAAATCCCCCTCAGTACCTGAATGTCTTGCAGTGTGGTGTAGACAGGCACAACCTCAAGCCATTTTGAATGGCTCAAAAGGACGCAAGAAGACTGGCCTGAAAGGGCCCAGCGTATCATGTTCACCCTAGACCATGGTACCTGTGTGTCCTCCCATCTATGCACAGGAGCTTGGGGCATCTCTGGGCGAGATCGTTGGCACAGGTGGCAGGCGTGTACCTTAGCTTCAATATCTTTATCTAAACCAGGCCACCACAAGTGGCTTCGTGCAAGAGCCTTCATACGAACAATGCCAGGATGACCCTCGTGTATGGATTCTAAGACCCTAGTCCTCATTGAGGTGGGAATGACAACTCTGTTTCCCCAAAGCAGACAACCCTGAGAAAGGGACAGTTCGTTCGCTTTTGGACAGAAACTCTGAAACTCAGGACTAGGGCAGTGCTCAGGCCACCCGGACAGGACCCAGGAGCGGACACGTGAAAGTGTGTGATCTGTACCTGTTTCAGCGGTAACATCCCTGGCACTAAGAGGGAGCTCGTGCAAGGCTTGGATTGATAGAATGTTGACAGCTGGCGCGGGGTCAGCTTCTACTACTGGCAGAGGCAACCTACTGAGGCCATCATCATGGCCCATTTCTTTCCCAGGCTTGTGGAGTAATGAAAAATCATATGCAGACAAGAAAATAGACCACCTAAGCATTCTAGGGGAAATAATGTGGGGAGTCTGCTTACGTGTGGTAAACAGTCCCAGCAGAGGCTTATGGTCAGTGAAGACCGTGAAATGCCTGCCATAGAGAAAATCGTGGAATTTTTTAATTCCAGCAACAACATCCAGAGCCTCCCTGTCTATCTGAGCGTAGTTGCGCTCGGCAGAAGACAGTGTTCTGGAGTAGTATGCATAGGAACCTGAGTTCCATCAGACTTGAGGTGACTCAGGAAAGCTCCAACCCCGTAGGGGGATGCATCACAAGCGATGCACACAGGACGAGACTCGTTGAAATGTGCAAGAACACTGTTAGAAGTGA